AGTAACAGTTCACGTCCGCTTTAGCCGCCAGCAGCAGCTTCACGATATCGTAGCGCCCCGACCTCACCGCCACCAGGAGGCAGCACAGAGGGTCCAGGTCCGTCTTCGCTCCGGCCGCCAGCAGGATTTTAGAGCACTCCTCGTCCCCGTTTGAGACGGCGAAGTACAAGGCGCTCCTCCTCATGTCACTGTAGTTCTCTGAGTTTCTGGCGTTCATGCGGTAGTTCACGTCGAAGCCACAGGCCAGCAGGTGCTTCAGGCAGCGGCTCTGACCTCCGTCTGACGCCGAGTGGACCGGACTCTGACCCGCCGCTTTGATCGCCTTCTTGGTGGTCAGAGGAATCAGCATCTTCAGAGCACTGTGGGGAAAACACAAGCAGTTAAATGTTCTGCTGTGATCAACTCTCACTGGCGTCCACTTAAAGCTGCTTCAGAAGAATGTGATGGAAACTTCTGGAGCAATGGAGACGAGACTCAGAGAGACTCGGAGAGAGCAGGAGCTTTGATGGTAAACACTGATGGTTTATTTGGAGCTTTGGCCGGATAATTCACAAGACATGAGCTGAGCCACGAGGTGACACAGCTGCTGCCAAACCAATTCTGAAGATCTCTACCCCAGACCCATGTATTTAGCTAGTTCTGAGAGAAGAATCAACATGCTGCATAACAAGATAAACCCTAACACCTCTATCAGCTGACGCCAACAGGCAGGAACAGGGAGACGAAACACTGAGAGCAGTTCGAGGTTGCAGGACTGTGCTCAGCGACGGCAGTACAAACTGAGAAACTGGGTCAAAATTATGGGCATAGGAAAATATTTCCCCAACAAAGAAGCTCACTCAAAGTGTCCGTTGAACGCGGCCTTGTGGAGCGGCAGGTGTCCGTTGGTGCTGGGCAGGTTGGGGTCGGCTCCGTTGTCGAGCAGCAGCTGAATGCAGGCGGTGTTTCCTGATCCGGACGCGTCCAGCAGGATACTCTCACCGTTACAGGCCTGAGCGTTCACGCTGCTGCCTGCAACAAGAGGAGATTCAGATGTGTAGGGGGGGAAGTTAAGTTGATTTGTACAAGTGTAAACATTGCTGTCGATAACATTCTCACTGCCCTACACTTCAAACTACAGTGCATTTGGTCCTTCTACAATGTCAGCTTGGTGGCATAACGAATGTAGGTTTACTTGTTCAACAATGTTAGGATAAAGCAACTGTAGTACTGGATTAATTCAGTTAAAGATTGTGTTTTCAGCGGGAAAAATAAATAACTTTGAGTAGCATTGGTGTTTGTTAAGAAACTGGTATTAATTCCATTAGATACTGTAAGTCAACTTTGACATTTTTTGGCACCCCTGAGCAAACTCCTTCTTTGTTAACATCCGTTCCTTTTGGCGTCCATTAACGAGATTAATACGTTTACATTGTTACCCTAAAGCCTGGTTCTTCTTAACCACATACTAAAGATGCATTAGTGCGTGGGTATTGGAAACCGTGAGAACTTCCCAATCATCAGTATTTAACAACTTTGGAGTCCTGATCAAAGGTTTTGGCTAATGCTAACAAGTACTAAAAGACTGTCTGTAATTTCAATATTCCCATATCTACCCATGTTGAATGAACTGTCTTTCCACGGTCTCTAAACCCACTCTTCAGACTGACCACAGTTCAGCAGAATCTCGATGATGTGGTAGTGTGAATGCTCTGCAGCCACGGCGAGCGGCGTCCCCCCCGACACGTCCTTCTGGTTGACCTGGCCTCCGTTCCTCAGCAGCAGCATCAGGATGTCCACGTTTCCCACCTTGGCCGCCTCGTGCATGGCGGTCCATCGCTTCCCGCACACCTGCTCCACCCAGGTGTCGTGAGCCACCAGCAGCTCCGTGATCTCCAGAGAGGCGGCCTTCACCGCTGTGAAGGGGGGAACATTTTTATTTCCAAATAACTTATAACTAATGCTGTTGATGTATTGTGATTTTAAAAAGGTGTCTATTATCATCTGGCTGGGGACAACAGCTGGAAATGAGCAATGTTGGCTAAAGCCGCCCCATTTACTGCTTTCTTTTACAGTCGATCAATGGGGACTGTCCACGATACTATAAACAAATAAACTCAACTAAATATAGAAATGTGTGTTTTTAAGGTTTAGCAAGACTGGGATTACTTTTTTAAGTTATGAAATTGTTTTAATTGTAACAATGAACCTGATAATGTGTAGTGCAAAGGTTGAGGGACATGCCGAGAATAACGGCCAACTTCCATCGTACAGAGCTTTTTAGCCTCTTTGAACTGTTTTTCCAATGTTTTCTGGCACCTTCTTTACATCAACATAGTCGTTACCAGAGCTCTCAAGACACACGCATTTCACTCCATTCACACGCTCACACGCCACACCTTGTATTTTTCACGCAGAGATTTCTTTCCAGGGTACCGCCCACCAACCAACAAACCCCAGAGGTCTACTGTTTGTCATTTTCACATAATTATTCTATGTTTTCAATCAATCAATCAATCAATCCAATCAACCAAGCAAGCAGTCAGTTAATTTGCTCCAAATGACTTTATATTATTCTTCTGTGCTTTGATTAACGATTTTCTTTGATTTCCAATGTATCGGGGTCTTGGGGGACCCCAGTCAAGATCATCTAACTGCAGCCTATGCCGTTTTCAATGGTTTTATAATGTGATTATTTTCAGATAACATTATGGATGTTTAAATTAGTCACACCATTAGTCTTATTATTCCCCCCCCCCTCCTGTGTTACCTAGCAGCAGCGGGGACTCGTTCTTGGTGTTGGTGTTGTGAGGTGATGCACCGTGCTCCAGAAGGTTCTTCACGTTCTGCACCAGCCCGGCTGTCACTGCCAGAGTCAGCGCCGTCTCTCCCCCCCCCGACGTCCTCTCCTCAAGGCTGAGCCCCTGAGCTGTCACTGAAACACACACACACACACACACACACACACACACACACACA